AAGGTAAAGGGCTGAAAGGTAAAAGACAGTGAATTTGGAAGGAAGATAGCTGCAGGAGATCGAGATTCATTATAGAAGATAGTTGTGTGGTAGAACGGTAACAAAATTCCATATGACGATCAGGATGAAGATAATATGTGCATGCAACTGCACCGCAGAAGTTTGTGTTGACTCCCGTATTTCTCTGTTATTATCTCTCCATATGGCACTCTTAACTTAGCTCTTTCAAACTTCAGCTGAGTAGTGCTTTCACAGTAAGTCACCGCAACATCGTGCTTCCATAGAGCACATATCAGACACCCTAACATCAGTGAGAAATCTGAGTTCTCGGGAAAAATACCTCAATTCCAAGGTGAGAAATCATACACATCAGTTTAGAAGACATGGAACTGCCGAGGGTTGATCGGAGAATTATTAGTCCGCTAACAGCTAATTCAAATCAGCATTCAGATGCTCCCATACAAAAAATGTCGAAATTTGCTCCAGTTCATGAAGCAGAATAAAACAGCAATTTTTGACATAGGTTATTGTATGTACCACCCACGGTGGTACGATGAAACTTACAACAGGCATATATACGGGTGGTGTGAAATATCAACCGCCAAGGCTGGATGTCAGTTTAGATGAAGCTTTGATACCGAAATGAGATTCAGAAAAAGGACCCGGATCGTTGTGGAAATTTAACCGGTTGCTAGCATTAACTTATTGGTTTGAAAATGGTTTCCACCGGGGAATGGCATCACTTGACGAAACGTCAAAGACGGAAAGCAATGGACAACCCAGCCCTCTTGGCTGAGAGCTTCTCAGTGATGTGCGGCCTACAAACCGCTTGTTGAAGTGCTGTTCGCTTCTCACTGGTGACTTACGCTGAAGTAGACCTCTCAAGTTCGAATTAGAAGCCTTGACCTTTCTCGTTACCCGGTTTAGACGGGGATAGCGGATGCTGCTGGACAACAGCCAATGACGGCCATGTTGTATCATTAACTGATAGAAGTAAGAAACTATGGATCACTGTGTTCCAGTCCAGTCGCTGAATGACGGTGGACTTGGTACGAGATGTGACGACCCTGTCCTGAGGAAAGTTAGGAAGAAACGCAACCAGTGAAGGGTTAAATTACATTTTATTTATCTTACAGATTTAGTAGAAAATGTGCAATGTGGACAATTCGGAAAAACCTGAACTTTTTCAAACTTCAGTTGTGATATACCAGGTTATTCACCCCTGAATGTTTCAGCTAACCACTGTAGCCCATTTGAGAAGAGTTCATAATCAATTTCCAAGTGATGCTTTCTTCAAAGAGATTCAAAAAAGTGAGCAAAAGTGTGACGACCTAAGCGGGTACTCTGAAGGTCTTATTTCGCAGCCAATTTCAAAGTTACCACCAAAAGTTTGTCAGCCTCCGTTCCATTTACTGTCTGTCTACGCGGATGTCCTCATAGATAACTCTAAAACATACCTCCTAAGCAGTGCTTGATTTACACACCATTTTCAAGTCCTAAAGCAGCTTGGTTAATATGCAGAGGACTTCGTTCAGCCATTAGCTTCCAAACAAATAATTATGTTCAAGAAGATCCTCACTAAACACATGCTGATGGCTTATGAAGTGGGAAAATTTATGAACCGGTCTACCCCGCAGTATGTCTCAGGCGTTATGACCAAACCACTACAATTCTCCCTCGCTCTTCACATTCCTAGTGTTGGAGTTACTGTTTTCTGTCATCAAAAGGGCAGTGTTTGATGCCAAATTTAAACATGATATCAGTATGATTACATTAGTCTGCTAATCGACTTCCAGTCCAATATCCAAAACCCCTTTACTACTCGTATAAATCATTCCATTCGTTTACAATCCCCTAGATCCTGCGGATCGGTCACAGGTATCTTTTGGGCTTCGATGCAGTAGGTCGACCCGCTCGCCTACTGTAGCCCTGGCACAAACGACTGACGGTTGGGTGCTGTTCAGGTATGTAGCGGTTGTGCGATTTCTCTAAGAACCGTGGTGGGGATGGCTTCCTCAAAAGCCATGTCACCAGACCGTTCCACTTCTATTGATTTATTAGATTTGTCACGCTGTGCAGCAGTATTTTTCACTGGATTACGTTTTGGACATAATACACCGTCGATAGTCACACCAAGATAACTACACAATTTTGAAATATACCTCATAAAGTTTTAATTCTCTCGCCCTTTGTGACATGGGTAGTAAGAATTTCTATGTATCCGGAACGGGTGCCGAGTCATTTCTGTTGTTGCATGCATTAAGTATTGATCGGATTGTTTGGATTGGTTGTGAAAAAGAGGTATAAAGGGTTAAAAGATGCCAGAAAAAAGGAGAACGAGGAAGCGCGAAAAAAGGTCGAAGAGAAGCAGAAGGAGAGTCAAGGAGAAACCCATGTAGGTTTGGGGAAGACGGGGAAGATAACTGTGATAATGGGAACCTTAGAGAATAGGGCGAAATAACAGAGTCACAGAGAGGAGAAGTAGCAGCCAAGATTATGGTAGGTGTGACGCGAATAGAAATAGTGGCGTTGTCAGCGTGGTTATTGTAATCACGATTAAGACGTCTAAAAGGGAAGCAATTCTTTACCTGGTACTTTTTAAACACATGAAAATTTCTCACGCACTACGAACTGCAATTATCATCATGCACCACTCTGCCCAGTATCCTGTTCGAAAAGGTGCATCCTATTTCCTCTCAGCCTTCAGCTTGCATTATTGAGGATAGTAAGCCGACTTGGCTCGTGTTAGTTCTTGCTGCAATGCGTTCACCGAGGGGGCTGTTACCACTTGTCCGACTGATGAGTTATAGTCAATGACAGTTAGCTTAAAGCTCCAGCAAACAGCCCACAAATCACCCTTTCAACAATTTCTGCCAAGATAGGTAACGGCCTTGAGTGCAAACCATCGGGACCGACGGGTTTTTCAAGTGTAAGGTTGCTCAGCAGCCAAAGGACTACTTTTTCCGTTATGCATTTTGGATCTGTAGGAAGAGAACCTTCGGGGAACTTGTCAGTGTTCTAAAGTTTCCGTATACTAAGAAAACTTTGCCGAAATAGTGAAAGAGACGCAGACCTGGACAGATTAAATTTATCGGATTCCACAAAATCTTGCGGGTAGAATTCGAACCCGCATTTTAAACATGGCTGAGGCTATGGGAGTTAAAGAAAACCAACCCATTCTCCATGTGGCCATGGCCAGAGAAAACCTAATAAATAGCTTCGAAGGTAAATTCAATTTTCGTCTTCCTTCTCTTTCTTCAAGCGCCACACACACGTTTAATTGTTTAGACTTGGTTACCCACACATTTCATTCTTTGGTCTTACGTAACTTTTATTTTCCTAAGTCGTGATGACATTGTCTGAATGCTATTTCCATTATTCCCATCATCATTAAGATAATTACTATTACTGCTATTGTTATTATTGTCTAGATTAGATTTCCTCGACTCGCCTGAAGCGTTAATCTCTTAGAAGAGATGGGCTGCATCATTGCGCACAGTTCTCCCTTTAATACACAGTATTAGCCGTCTCGGGACAGGTTTTGCAGTCAGGTAAAAGAAAGCTTTTGTTTTTGATCCCAGACCCCACAATTCATGACTTGCTCAAATTCTTGACCTTGCAGTATGCGAGAGCTTCACTCATTTGGCGCACAGTGCCTCTGTGTTACTTATTATCAAGCATCTGTTTCCGTTTAATCGGTCGTATGTGGGATTTAGTAAGAAATAATATGCTGCAGAAGACATCATTGGATTAACCCAATTTTCACCACACCTTTCAATGAACTAGTTTCACAGACGACTGATTCGCATGTGATTTTGCAGTGTGTATGAATTAGTTGAGCGTAACTTTCAGCCACCACAGTTGTTACGGCTTGATATTTTATCAGCCGTGAGGCAACAGTACCCGGAAAAGTTAGGATTAGCATCCCAACCGCTTATGAGCAGTGTTTTCATCGGAAAAACTACGCTGGATCTTACTTCGAAGGCTGGAAACCGCAGCCAAAGCATTTTGCTGTGGAGGCTGCATGCATTAGAGAAAAACACTGTCAAGATATCCGATACGTCACATGGTTCGCAAAATTCATTTCACGCTGCATTTGCTGGTATACCTAAAAGTGACCTTGCGATCCAACACTTCGTTAATTGCCCCGGAATAGAACATTCTACCTGCCTCCACGCAGTTTCGAATCTGTCGACTTATTGTCAGTACAATGTCCCAGACTATACTTCACGCTATCTCCTGTTTTCACATTGTCCGACGAAGGTGAATCGCCAGCCTTTGAGACACTAGGGGAGGTGATTGTATTTTGGGAAAGCTATACAAAGGTTGAAGTCGAATACGGGCCCAACAGGGTTACCTATTTATTCCGAGGCCTCACAAACAGCAAACATGAGTTTATTACACTCCTTTTCTCTTTTCATCGAGCCTTCAGTTTATCAAAGCCAGTCAGTCTATTTACCCTGTTCTCATAACGCCAGTTTAGACTGATACGAACACTGAAGTCACGCACCCTGCGTGCGATAAACGAAGGGATATTCTCCTCATCCTTATTTCGAGAGATCACCTCTGAAATCCTCCTTGAGTCAGGTTTATTTTCAACCCCTTAGCCCAATCTGACCATCTTGGAGACGTTTACTTCGAGGGAAGTTTCTGGCAATATGCATTGGATCTTACCCGAGAGGAATTCAAGTCGTGGGCACTGCCTATGTTGCTCCGGCAAGATTTAAGGTCATATTCAATGCCAGACGAATATACTTGTGTCCACTGTCAACCGTCTATGAAATATTCTCAAGTGCTTTGTTTTTCACAGCTATGGAACCGAAGGCACCTGTTTAAAGTACTCAGTTTATCAAGAGAGGGTTTCCTGCTCTTGAATGTCGGCTAAAAACATGAAGACCATACATTAGCTTTTAGCCTGTTCATGCAAGAAAACAATAGTTAAGGTATATTCTTCTTCTAGCATTTGCTAACCTAATCTTTTGTTTGTATCAATGAATACTGTTTGTCACCTTGTCTTCAAATGGCGATTTTTGAAATATACCGATGTCCCGTGATCCGAGAAGTGCATTTTCCACTTTTCCATATTGGGACATTATTTCAGTTGATCATTACCATAACCTCAGTTATTGTTCCTTTCTTCATATGCTATCGTTCTGGTGGTAGGTACTTCACTGTATTGATTACACTATACATATATTTATAACGTAGACATTATAAAGATGTATTTATAACATATGTTTGCATCACGTATGATATGAATTAGCCTTTTTGTCGTACAGAATGGCTTACAATAATCAATTCACCCTTTAAAAAAATAAAGTTCATGGGAGAATTTTTCAGACAACCAGGCCTTACGTTGATAAAAATGTATTTGAAAATTTCCTCAAATGGTGTCAAAAGTTCCTGTTTGCGCTGGAAAATGCATAGATGTTGTTGCTGATGATCTGGGTAGACGCATGGATTCGTCGTAATCGTCAGATATCCTTGAGTATCGGATACTAAGAAAAAACATGATTAATTAACCAGGTAGGAATTACGAATTTGTCATATATTACGAGTATGACAAAATACCTGGGATAACTTGGTGAGGAGTCGTGAGTGAGAAACACAACGTAACACTATAAGGTGTCGGATGACGTTGGTGCATGCCTTAAGATTCAAATTTGTTTGGGGATAGGAGGCTGGGAGCCTATATTAATTATTTCCCAGTAGATTTCTGTGCTTGTCCAATCTCCTTTTGGACTAGTCAGTTGATGATGCGGACACCACTTCTGCTGACAGTCGGTCCCAGGCGTCGATTACTCGACACGAGAACCAGTACCCTTCGGACACTATGTTCGTTCTTTGCTTTTGTAGTCTTCTACTATGTCCTCTGAGGTGTTCCGACCTAGTGGGGAAGGAAAAGAGAAGATAGATCAAGTCCAAAGACATTTCTTAGAATCCTTCATGGCATGATTAAGTCTCCTCTCTGTCTGTGATAGGACAAGTGAAGAGGTTCAGTTCCTTAAGTCGGTCTTTATAGGTGAGGCAAGCCATCGCAGGGATCATACGAGTGGCTGCCCTCTGAACTCTTTTTAGAAGGTTTGCGTCACTTTTCAGAAAAGAATCAGCCACCTGTGTACAGTTTTCTAACTTAGACCTAACTAAGGATCTGTCTGAGTTGGTGAAAACGTCACCACTTATTTTCGTAAACATTCTATGTAATGCCCAGGGAGTCCTAAAACTCCGAGCTACGAGTTCGTTATAACTATGAGGGTCCGCATGAGTGCTGGATGTAACCCAATTTTAGGCTATTTATTTTGAAGAGTCATTTGCGATTACACTGCTATTATGCACTACACCTTACAGTGGAACATGGTAAAACAGTTGTCACATATTCTCTAGTAGCAAACTCACTGCACTTTCAAAACAATGTATATATCTTAGAGACAACTGTTGGATGCAAATATGTCTATAGAACTAACACTGAAAAAGCCATATGTGTAAAAGATGTTGAAGCTTCTGTGCTCTGGATGACTAATTTAATCTTAATTAGGATATAAAGGGAACTCTTCAACCATCTGTACTCAGCTTTCTATGTGGTGAATACGTACACATATCCATTGCTTTTCATTGACGAATAAATTTAAGAATCACATCACCCGTCAAATAAAGCTTACATGCGTTGGTCATCTCAATATTTTCCCCTGAATTCTGATACCACAATGGCCGATGTGTAACCGCATCTGAATACTGGTGGCAATCTTTATGCTCACTGCCGTGCTTGTTAAGGCGGTGAACAATACGTAGACGGATGAAGAAATGAGAGGACGTGTTTACTTATGACTAGAATCGGCAGTAGTGTTTTCCTACAGGGCCTCTTTCTCCGCATCAACGGTCATGAGTATAACCTACTTAAGTTTAGAGCTATCAGGTTGTTCATTATTTAACATATGGAGACTCTAGCGTCAGAGTTCATAAGAGTTAATAAATCTTATGCTGTTACCAGACGGTATTCCGAGCCGTATCCGGTGAAAATCGATCAGGCCTATTTGGGTATTTGAATCTAGAACTCAAATATAGGCAAATAAAGCTTGTAAGGGTACATCGACTGGTCACTTTAAATGTGACTGCAGCTTATGAAGCATAAGCTGTAGAAAGCCAGGCAGCTTTCTGACCTGGATGAGGGTGTATCGATTACATTGTCAACCTACGACAAGTTCTGCAGCACAGACATACCTATCGGTGGCCGAAACTCACCATATTTCTTGATCTGAAGGCGGCGTTTGATTCTGTCGACCGTGAGATGTTGTAGCAGTCTGACTGTGAAAGGAGAACCGAGCAAGTATATTAAGCTAATAAAAGCTGTCTACTCGAATTATTGAAGTCGTGTAAAGGGCTTACGGAGGGTCGTCATCAGAATTGAAGACAACTGTTGGTGTTCTCCAGGTGTTCCCATTGTCCCCGTTCCTTTTTAACTTTCTTATAGACATACTAATGGATATAACCTTAGGTTTGTCTGATTTCATAGCGGTTGATCTACTCTCAGACGATATTGTCCTGTTAGGTGAAGACGCTGATGCAATGCTGGGTCCGCTGAAAGTGTTGAGGAGAAATCTGAATATTTTTGGCATGCGCTTTGCGCTTTCAAGTGTCTGCAACCACTCCCAGTTTATTTACAGGGATTAAAGTGGTGGAATGTGTTAACCACTTAACTTACACTTGGGGAGTTGCATCAGCTCGACGGGGTTGGTTGCTGACGAAATCTCAGCTCGGATGCAGAAGGTCAGTTTGCTATTTGCAACTTACGTTGCCTGTGGCGTCTGCGAGATATCTGACTACCTATTTAAAGGATGCGTATACTATGCCGCATTCCTTTCTATCCTGCTATACGTCTGTGGGACGTGACCGCTGAAAGCAGAAGACAAGGCAGTGATCATAGGTGTTTTTGTATCGTTGCTTGCATCTAGTGGAATCATCATACTACCAATGCTGAAGTCAGGGGACAGGTACTAGGCAAGAAAGGCAAGTCGATTGATAGGGTTGTTAGTCTAAATCGACTGAAATGGCCTAGATACGTACTGGGTATACTAAGCCAACACCTAACTCAGCGTGCCATGGTAGGCGAGGCTGGATAAGGGTGGAAGACCGCTCATAGCAACCAGACTAAGACGTGGGACCAGTGCATGAAGCCTCTGACTGTTGGCCTACGCAGTGTTAGGAGATGCAGACTGCCCGGCTGAGGTCCACCAGATGATAGGGATAACTGGTTGAGGACTGTTGGTCAGATGACTGGAAATCGGTCACAGTGGCGAAGATGTATTCACTCCTTGACATCTTCTAAACCTTGAATATTTACCCTAACCATCATCTTCAGATTATGTATCTTTTCACACAACTCCGTATTCTATGATAGCACTGTTATGCTATCCATCTGTTTTATGTGTGCTACTGTGAAGTGTGGGAACTTAAGCTGATGCAGTTGTGTGCGAGGTTCTACGTCGATTCTGTCTCTCTAGATCGGAAATATGTTATTTACATCCCTGCATTAATATGTCACTGTCAGTTCGTCACTTCTTAGAGGCCTATAGCTTTTTAACTGAATCCAATGTAGTGACGTCGCTGTGCCAGTTGCTGATTTCAAGTAATAAATCAATACGCATTCCAACTGGTTCTTGTAATTCAGCAGATGACCTTCATTACGTTCTAGGGTAGTCAGAAGATGACTACATCTCTGCCTGCAACTGGACAGTTTTAGACCATCCACATACTTCAAGTTAGGCAAAGTAAACTCACGGTATAGTTAGTGAATACGAGTAATTTGAAAAAGCTTCACCAGAAGAAGATTGGCTGCATAAACTAAGAGATTTAATATTCTGACATTACCTGAAGTCATGAGATATGGTAACTGCATTCCACAAGACTGGTATACCGATCTGTCCTTGTTCCAAAGTCCAGATGGATAATCCAAAGTTGCACCAGTATCATACTCTTCAGATCGACAGACAATTTAAGCACAAACATTTACTCTAGAAGTTGACATACTGATGCACCTGTGTGCGAGGTTCTATGTTGATTTTACCAGTTAGTCAGTCAATCAGCCGGTCAGTCAGAGTCTCATTTAATTCTTCGCATCTTTGATCGGGGACGAAGATGCCGACAGACTGCAATGTAGGTGTTCAACACCACAAAATGCTTAACAAACCCAGACAATTGTATCTGAAGTCGTTAATTAGGACTAACAAGTTACCATCATATCTTGACAGCTGTAAGATGACAGGCTGATTAGACTTTGACAGGTGGTAAGTGAAGTTGTTTCTTGTTTGCCTTTCCTCTGTCATATAACGTAATCATCCATTTGAAGCAATGGTTTTTTCTGACATTATATCAGGCTGTTTGGTCAATTATTTAGAGAACTCACGATAAATGGTAAGTTTTGAAACTTTTCTCCATATCTTGCTCAACATTTTGTTTCACATGTATTGTTATAGGTTTACGTTCAGCTCCGTCCATAGTCCAAAATGCTTTAGGTATAAGTTTTCAAAAACGAAGATGGAAGGCTGTGGTTATGCATTGGTGCTTAAGGTTTGTAGTACGATTGTAGTTCAATGCTTCTTTGACGGAAGTCTATAAGCTCCTGAAGAGAAATCTACTGGCCCACTAGTTTATAAGATAAACGGACTTTAATAGATGGTGATTGAAACTGTTTTGCATAAATGTTTAACTGTCGTTCCTTATGTGTTGTATGTTGGTTATTATTGGAGAATTTGTTTTGCCCAGAATGGTCCTAGTCTAGTGGGCTTTGCTGAACAGAAAGGATATAAATAGTATATGTTGAGAGGGCAACAGACACCCAAGGGAATTACTAGCAGTGGGTAAAGATTCTGCCCAGAGAAACACAAGAGACAAAGCGGGTGTATGAACAGCAGATCAAGAGAGATGCAGAAGAGGAAATGAAGTACATTATACAAATGACTATCTTAGTGGAAGGTGTACGATATTTGATGACTACTGTACAAAATGTCAATAATAAACATCCCTTCCTTCATCTCCATCTTGTTGTTTCTACAGTTCTCTCCCAAGTCTCCTTTTCATCCACATATTCCATACCGTCATGTGCCGCTTTTTCTGTGCCCCTTAGCAACAGGCCAAGCACCACAACCTTTGCTCCTGGATCCCAGACGTCCACCAGCTCTGCGACAGGCTTGAAATCCCTGAGAAAGATCTTGATGTCTTCATCCCCGAACACTGCTGGCCACAGAATCTTCATCACGTTCAGAAGCAGCGACACCAGTTGAAGAAAACAGTAGTCATTAAATATTGTACACGTTCCACTAAGAAAGTCATTTGCATAATGTGCTTCCCCTTCTGCTTCTCTCTTGATTTGCTCTTAATACGCCCACCTTGTCTCCTGCTTTTCTCTGGGCAGATGCTTTACCCACTGCCGGTAATTCCCTTAGATGCCTGTCGCCCTCTCAACATATACTACTTATTATCATTTGACTGTCTGAGATAGCCATAGTTTGGCAGACTAGTATTTATACTGGGGTGATCATTGAAGGTGAGATGAAAATCTAAACAGCGGCAGCGGGTTCAGCAGCGCTTCGTCATTTCACTCTGTTCTCTGCAGTCTTTTCAACCTGGCTCCACTACTGCCCAAAAGCTTCCATGTTTTCCTCACACTACCTCCATATCATCACCCTCAGGAGCCAAACTCGTCGTTTCCCATTTGGTTTGCACACGAGGGCCTGGTCTCATGCGTGATGTCCCCAAACTGTCTTCTCAGTGCATGTCCAATCCAGTTCATCTCCATTTTCTTCTTCTGCATGTTTGTTGGTTGGTTCATTACCAGGACAGAGTAAGTTCCTGATTGCTCATTCTTATTATTCTGACCATCTGATCTTCAGTGTCAGTATCAAGTGAGTATAGGCGGCAGCTGTTGATGTATGTCTGTAGTTTGTTAGATATGCTTTCCGTGATGCGCCAAGTTTCCAAACCATATAGCAGCACTGACTTGACTCGCATTGGTGTTGTAAATCTGGATGTTGTTCACGCTTTATGCTGAGTGAGTGGAGTGGAGCGCAGTAGATCTCCACACTAATGATTTCACATTAATACAGGAAGGACTGTCTTGCTGTATTTCGATCCTGGTTTTGACATCCTTGTATGTGCCGTCGCTGTCTGTAGTTCAAACGATGCTGCGTGGTCAGGTAGGTGAAAGAGACTATTTCCTTTAGATTTCTCCCGTAAATGGTGATTGGTGCTTGTTGTAGATACTGTTATTCGTTGGGTATCTTCATCACCTCCGTCTTCTCTACATTCACTTGGAGTTCGGTTTTCTCTGCCACACCTTTTCTGCCAAGTTGTTAGTTTTCGCCTGTAGATCTTGGAGTTTGTGTGACAAGACATTAGACATAAATCATCATCATCGGCGAAATCCAAATCATCTCCTGAGGTCTTTTCATCGGTCTAGCCAGCATATGCCCATCTTCTCGCTCCTCACAGTTTGCTCCATGACCCAGTCGACCATAGCCAGAAAGATTATGGGTGATGGTATACAGCCTTGTCTTACTCCTGTCTTCACTTCAAGGGTGTCACTGAGCTTTCCATAGTGGATCACTTGGCATGTGGCGTCTTCATATAGTTGATGAAGGTTTGTGGCACTAAAACCATAGTGTTGAAGCCACCCCCTGCCAAATTTCTTCTCGGTCGACGCTATCGAAAGCCTTTTCAAAGTCAATAAAGTTGAAATAGAGACTTGAATGCCATTCTGTGCTCTGTTCTATGATGATGCATAGCATAGTGTTGCAATTTGATCCACAAATGATTTGTTCTTCCTGAATCCAATCAGCCAGTAAGCCTGTTTGGGTGGGGTAATTTTGAATCCATCGCATCCTTTAGTCACTTACTTGCTTTGGGTGGACAGCAGTATAATTCCGCGCCAGTTCTTGCAATTCATAGATATATAACACAGTCAGTACAAATATCGATCAAAGACACTCAGTATTGATTATCAACTGATCATCATAACTACCCTTGAAATGATTATTATTATTGTTTTTTGTTGTTGTAAAGGATTCTGGTTACGTGATTCAATTTATATTGAACAACCTCAAATACGTTTCTTAAAACAAATTTATATTGAATTAAAAGGTTCCAATGGAACTGTATATACATGGAGTACATATACGGATTTAAATGTTCAACTTTCATCAAATTTATTTGTTCCACATTTATCAATTCAACAATTAGATGATGATTATGATGGTGTATATGATAAATTAAAGTTGATATTTCGTATTCCAATTAAAGATAGGTTTAACAAGTTATACATTCTATTGTTATTCAGTTATCAACTTAAAGTAAGTGGAATTTAGTTTATTTCATATGAGTTGACAATTGAAACATACATTCATTTTATTCCTTTCAATTATAAAATGATACTCTGAGACTTGTTTTGCTTCAAATACTTCCATTTTAATGATAAAGAGTGAAATGATGGAATGTATCAACCAATTCGTTTACATTTAAGAAGTTGTATCTATCTAAATAGGCTTATTGCTGACTAATTCTTTGATTGGATAGAGGAAGCTTGTTTGATATCTATGGCGTTGACTGGCGAGATATGTGACTGCCTAGCAAAAGACTAGCATATTGCATAACTGTGAAATATGTCGGTTAAAGTAGGAGATATGAAACAGCGCTGCAATTTTTCAACTATACATGTCTTGGTATCATTACTTGTACTTTGTGGAATCACACTGTGGACAATTTTGAGATCAGGCCTTGTTGATTAAGGAGGTTATCAACCTCAGTCAACTGAGATGACTTGAACATGTACTGTGTATGCTGAGCAGTTGCTGGGAGGGTTCATGGTGACCAAACGAAGATGCTACACTAGTCGATAAAGTCTCTTAGTGTCGGTGTGTGGACAGATGTAGACTAAATGTATTTACATACTCCTTTACAATAGTTCGAATTGTGTTATTATAAAAGTTTAAGTAATGTATTATTATTATCATAATTATATTATTTATCCCTTGGGTTCCTAGTGGAACATACAACTTCAGTAGCACGCGTCTATTGTATTCTGTTTTCTACAGTCTTTTGAACCTGAAGCCACGACTGCCTACAACCTTTCATTTCTTCCTCACATGATCTCCTCCATGTCACCCTCAGGTGGGAAGCCAAAATCGCCGTTTCCCATCTGGGTTCCACTCGAGTGCCTTGCGCATGATTTCTCCACTCGGCCTTCTCAGTGTATGCCCAATCCAGCTTCATTTCCTTCTGCTTCAGTAACGAGTGAGCATAGGCAGTTGTTGATGAATGTCTGTAGTTTTTTGGACATGCTTTTCGTAACGTGCCAAGTCTCTGAACCATCACACAGAAGCACTGACTGACTTGACTGACATTAGTGTTGAAAATCGGGGTGTTGTTGACGCTTTATACTGGGTGCAGAAGATCTTCACATTGGTTTCAGGTTAATGAACGCCTCTCTTGCTTTCCCCATCCTGGCTTTGACGTCCTCGTCTGTGCCGTCGCCGACTGTAGTTGAAATGATGCCGCCTAGATAGGTGAAAGAGACTACTTCGTTTAAGTTTCTCCCATTGATAGTGATTGCAGCTTGTTGTTGGTGGTGGTGGTGTTGGTTGGGTATCATGATCACCTATGTCTCCTCTACGTTCATTGAAGTCTTGTCTTTGCTGCCTCTTTTATCAACTTGTAATGTAATGATTATCAATAACGAAAACGTCTTACATTGTTAGTTAAATCATTGTTACACAGTTGATATGTGAGTTCTAATCTAACATCCTTTTTTCCTCACATAATGTACGGTTTTGGTAAGGTACAGTCGAATTCTTGTACTTCACTGTATCAGCGCGTACAGTCTGATGTAGTTTCTTCTTGTCCTCCCTTAGGAGATACAAAAAGAGAGGTGTGAATGAAGTGTCGGTTATTGTAGTAACTTGCTTGGTAGAATTTAAATGTCTATTAACTACTACAGTGGTAATCAATTGAGCCGGAGGCATACCACTCACCCTACTGATTGACGGCTTTCAAAACCCATCACAATATAACATAGTCCCCTTTTAGTAGACCAGGGAAGATTAACGGGGAGCAACAGAAAGGAGGAATAGACAAAATGTAGGAATTAATAAATTGAAAAACTAGAGTCATCGAGATTTACCAGACAGTCTCAATTTCTTTATGTAATAAGTTAGACGAAAGATTTTCTTGAAAGTCAACAAGATATGAGACGACCAACAAAGATTAGAAGTAAATCTCAATCCAAGATAGTTAACATTCAACTTACTCTCTGCAGAAATACCATCAGTACTGTGACATGCGTCATGAGACTTAAGCAGCACACCTGGTTAACTAGTTCACTAGTTACTAACCGGTCCTAAGCCCGGGTAAAGAGGGAAGGTTGGGCAATAGGGTTAGGAACCCTACCCCGTAAAACCAATCCAACCGCTACAGAACTTTCAAGGCAAAGAGTCTTGTTTACGCTAGAGGCTAAAATCAACAGTTTTGACTTTTAGTAGGGTTTAACTTGAGACCATTTCAAGAGAGACCATTGGTCAACTACAGACAAGAATCCATTTAATTCGTAGTAATCTAAGTGAGAGTTAACTGGAATAGAAACCGTCAGGTCATTAGCATACTTACTAAAATCAGTTTCAACCGAATAAGGTAAATCATGCAAAGAGAAGGAGAAGAGAAATGGAGAAAGTTTTGCACCTTAAGGCACACCAGCTTCAGTACGTGATGAAGTGGCTCATACCGAGCCATGGTCTAGAAACAGTGTGAAAGGCTGATGAGTAATTGGCTGAGAATTAGTCACTCTCTGACATCTACTAAATTTTGTTTACTCTCTTATACAGTTGTATCTAGTTTGATAATGCTCTTTCTCAATCCATCTGTTCTATGTTAACTGCTGTGAAATGTGAAAAGTTGAACTTCGATGGATTTGTGAGCTAAATTGTCCGTTGATTTTGTTTGTCCGCCTGTTTGTTTGATGGACATCTTTTTTTCAAAGAGTGAAGTGTACTGCCTACATAGTTCTATTCCATCGTCTTGATGTTCCATAGTTGAACTTGATCACTAAACATCTTTCTGCCTTAAAGTTATGACATGTTTTCAGTTGTCAGCAATGATCAACATGAAAACGTTTCTTCTAGATGCTGGAATTTTATACTCAACAATTAAATTATTCACTTTGCAACTTGTAAACCAACGGATTGTAGTTACCTAATAATTATCCATCTGCAATCTAAGCTGACATGTTCTAAGTTCACTGGAGAATGATGAAACGTTTTAGAAACGGTTCAAAAGTTCAGAAACTAGAAGTGGAGATATTTGATTTGAAATGATTTCACCTATTTAGCTGATGATGAGTTTTGATTCATTTGGAATTAGTTCAGAATCAGACTATGCTAATGATCCAATGAAATCAATGAGTTGTTTTCTGAGCTAGAGTTTTAGTAGGCCAACGTTTCAGTATCATTTAGCGCATCATCATCAGTGCAGTAGATCTTCAGAAAGAAGTCAAGTAATTGGTCTTGCATGCATATTGATAACGTACTAGTTTTGCCCGACTGTAATCTGATTGGTCACTTGATGAGTACGTGGGTGTATACTGAATCTGATTGGTTTTCTAATTCTGTATACCTTTTGCCTAGTGTTTTGTTCATCACCTTAAAATAACCTACATAGGTGTTTTCACACAGTTGTTAGTTTTTCTTCTCTCTTTCCTCTTAAGGCTGAACTCTCATTGGTTGTTAACTCTTTTAATCTGCCAATGAATTTAGTGTTGTCAAGGCCATTTAGAAAAGTATATATTCAGCATCGCTGTGTTAGTTTCGTATCGTTTGTAGTCTCATTGAGTGTTAGGTCGTACAACCATTCATAGCAAATTTACAAATTGATTATCTCTTTTAAGTTAATTCTGTGACTGGGATTTTTTTTTAATCGTTGACAATATTCACTCAGTTTAATGTTGTTATTTTAGGAACATGTTGGTCTGATATTGCAAACTCCGTTTATCATTCAATTTGATACACCAAGTATGATAGGATTTTGTCAATATTCTCTATATGGACAAGTATCGTTGTATCAAAGAGAACCTTTACTTGAAGGATATATGAATACAGTGTACAATGTAAGTGTTGATTAAATCTTGGTTTCATAACATTGATGCATGCCTCTTTTAGACGACCTCTGAATGTTCTATAAATATTTAGATGGTGTTTTTTTATTGATTTTTAGGTTTCATCCAATTGTCAGTTGATGAAGAGATTTCTTTTTATCACATGTTGACATGCTGAAAAATATTTGTAGCTTAGGTGAATTGTCTTGGTTGTATTGTGTTCTCTTCTCCGGGTAGTTTAATCGTGGAGATTTTATCGTCTTTCTAGATATCATCATCTGACATCATCAGCATTAACTTAAGTATGAAGTAAGCTGTAAATATCTCTCCGTCAGTGATTTAGTGGCTTGATCTGACGATGTGGTCTGTGATTGGTTGTTTCCTTCAACTGTTATATAATTGACTGTATAGATTTTCCTGTTGGTTATTCCTCTACTTGACCTCTGACCTTTTTGTCGTTTATCACCTTTCTTTTTCGTTGATAGATTGGGTCTATGTCTATACATCTGTTGACTGCTGACTCAGTGACCTGAATGCCAAGCTTCTAGGAATTCTCTCTCCGTCCACGATTTCTACATTGTCAACATTGAATTCATGTCTATAGTTGTTATCCATGTGCAGAGAAATGAGTGATGAAACGTCGTATGTGGCGCTTAGTAGCCAATTGGCATTCATGTAAACCACGAAGGTGAAGAGGGTGACCATTCTCTCCAGTGTAGTGGTGACTACAGTTAGTTATTGCAGTTGATTTTTTAAATGATATTCGGTTTGTCTTCTTAGGTAGTTGCATTCTTTGTTCTGGATAACTGTTTCGTCCTAGTATAGGACTTCTCAGCAGTACGCAACCGCGACCCGGCTAGGGATGGAACTCAGGATCTTCAAGTCTCACGGTGAACATGTTGACCATTCAGCCACTGAGTCGGCTTGCAGTGGTTCACAATTTACAACTTCTGTCAATTCACGACACAGCGTGACTATCACCCAAGATCTTCAGTTAGCATCCACTTCACTTCCGACTGGTTGACTCCACAGGTCACGCCTTCTCATTAGAGCTTCGTGATATCCATCTAGAAGCAAGTTACTAATGAACACTATACAGTAATGTATTTTTGAGATGAATGGGGATTTTTAATTTAGAGGTAGTATTCAGTGGCTGAATGGTTAACGTATTCGCCGTGAAACTTGAAGATCCTGAGTTCCATCCCTGGCCGCGTTATGGGTGCGTACTGCTGAGGACTCCCATACTAGAACGAAACAGCTGTCCAATGCTCACAGATTTTCAATGGTTCGACAATTCATATCAGTCCATGATGAAGTTAGTACTGATGATGTCGTCCAGAAAGACGATGAAAGCTTCACAATTAAACAACTCGAGTGAGAGAACATAATACAACCAAGACATATTCATATCTTTGATATGAAATTTCCTTCAGTCATTATGGTAGATAATCTATGTTTATTGTAGTTAACCAAGTTGGAATTTGATAGTTTGAAAACATTTGGGCAAAATTTGAGAAAATGATATTCATTATCTTGGTATTTGTATTTCCCAATGAATGAATGAATGAATGTAAGACAATATAAGTTTGTTTCAACTCATATTTCAGTATACTTTATCCTGCTAATAGCTTCTATCAAAGTTACAGTCAACCGGAATTTACAATATCCCCCAAGCTTATCTTATGATAACTTGATAAGTCTTCTTCTTCTGCATGAATAATTCTGCCTTGTCAGAGTTGTGGAATAAAGATGATATCCATATGTAGGTAGTGCACATTATGAGTGAACTATAGATTGAGATTTGTATGTACACATGTGCTCCTGAGAGTGCTTGTCGCATGTATGTCAGCATGTGGGAATGGATTAAGGTTAAGTCAAACCACATTTTACTCCTTCATTCCTTCCCATTTAAACAATCTTGACTATACTTTATGTGAATGAGACCTTCTTTATAATTTGTAAAGCCACCTTTCTGAATCATTTCCATATTGTGACCTGAAATTACAGTATGTAGAGCTATGACTGATGTGTGTTCAAGCTTATTTAGTTCCACTGGATTTCTAGGGGGTTGAGTGGAAGGTGTTCAGTGTTCCATCTTTTCTAATTTTAATTTCATGGGAAGTTTGTTCTATGTATATTGTATCGCAGTCTGAGCATTTTATTTTATGAACACAATTAGATTATGAATTTAGAAGGATTTCATCCTTTGAATGAAATAAGGTGCTCTGCAATATGTTTGATGTTCTGTAGAACCCTCTGATGACATTATATTTGTTGAGAATCCGATTCTGTATCCGATGTGTGTGTGTATGTGTGATCTGTAAGGCATAACTATTCTTGATGCCCATGATTTAGAAGTAGTTTTATGATTTAATTTAATGCTATTTTCTATTTTCGCGTAGTTTAATTCCTTAACTCTTTCATTTTCAAGTTGTTATTCATCGTAAACTGACATCAGTTGGAGGAACAATGGAGACGTGAGAGCAATTGACAACTGTTTCGTCCTAGTATGGGACTCCTCAGTAGTGCGCACCCAATACCGCGCCACGGATCGAACCCGTAACCTTCAGGTTACTTGGCTAGCACGTTACTATTCAGTCACTGGCTCAGCGGGATCCAATGGTCCATATTTCTAACTTCTGTCAGTTCACGATATAGTGCAATCGACACCCAATGTCATCGATGAGAAACGGTCCTCACAACCATCAGGCTTTGCCCCCACTGGTCATGACTTCTTTCATTTTCATCCATTGCTAGAGTGTGTGCTCTTATCTTTCGCATTAATTGAATGTGATGAGTTGGAATCGAAATCTTAGTTCGAATGTGTTGCTTTCCTGAAAATAGTTATATCTAAATGTTCATTTTCTAACCGTTTAACAAGACAATCAAACAAAAGGTAGTTCCCTATTATCCGTTTCTTTTTCTAAGTTGAACTTGATACTAAGAGATGTAGGGTGTTAATAATGTCACTGGTATTCAATGGACATCTTTCTATCAATATTATTACCTCAGTCTAATAAACAATAGTGAATATCACTCACCCCAATGCCCAATTTTTTTTCAAACCATCAAATTTCAACCTCCTTTGTATTATCTATTTACACGATTTCTGTTGGTTGGCTAAGTTTGCTTGATTACATTGTGATACAATATACATAGAACAAACTTACCATGAAATTAAAATTAGAAAAGAGATGGAACATTGAACACCTTCCACTCAACCCACTAGAAATCCAGAAAAAGCGAATAAACTTGAACACATATCAGTCATAGTTCTACATACTGTAATTACACGTCAAAAGATTGACTCATTGACCATATGGAAATGATTCAGAAAGGTGACTTTACAAATTTTAAAGAAGGTCTCATTCACATAAAGTGGAATCAAGATTGATGGATGGTGGTTTTACTTTCTGATTAGATTATGAATTGAATATATGTCTGTTATCTGTTAACTGACATTTCATTTGAATGCCATTCTTCTAGAAGTTCACTTAAAGCTTTTCAACTTACTGTTTTTAGAGGATTTTTATATTCTCCCAATCGAATTTGTGATTCTGATTGTCTGCATACATCGAAATTAATGAGGTTGCGTACATCGGTGAATCACTTTACTGCTAATTGGTGTTCACGAATATTTGAGCAATCAGACGGCTAGAATGGCCGACATTATGCTGTCAACAATCTTCGCAGTTGATTTTGTTGATGATATGGTATACCCAGATCTACAGGCGAAAACTTACAAGTTGACAGAAGAGGCGAGGCAGCGAAGACGGGACTCCAAGTGAATGTAGAGAAGACGGAGGTGATGAAGATATCCAACGAATAACAGTATCTACAACAAGCACCAATCACCAATAACGGGAGAAATCTAAAAGAAATAGTCCCTTTCACCTACCTGACCACGCAGCATCGTTTGAACTACAGTCGGCGACGTCACATACAAGGATGTCAAAACTAGGATCGAAAATACAGCAAGACAGTCCTTCCTGCATTAATCTGAAATCATCAGTGTGGAGATCTACTGCACTCCACTCCACTCCACTCACTCAGCATAAAGCGTGAACAACATCCAGATTTACAACACCAATGCGAGTCAAGTCAGTGCTGCTATATGGTTGAGGAACTTGGCGACTCACGACACTTCCATCACCTTTCCAACAAACTACAGACATTCATCACATCAGCAGCTGCCGCCTACGCTCACTCGATACTGACACTGAAGATCAGATGGCCAGAATAATAAGGATAAGCAACAAGGAACTCTGACGACGAACCAACGAAGCAAGAAGCTATCACCCAACAAATATACAGTAGCAGAAAGTGGAGATGGATTGTGCATACACTGAGAAGGCTGGTTGGGGACATCACGCACCAGGTCAGGCCAGTTCCTCGAGTGGAATCCAAAGGGGAAGAGACGAGTTGGGCGTCCCAACTGAGAGTGACATAGAGGAGATCATGTGAGGAAGAAATGAAATTTTGTAGACAGTCGTGACGGCAGGTTCAAAAGACTAGAAAACAGAATGCAATAGACGCGTGCTACTGAAGTCGTATGTTCCACTAGGAACCCAAGAGAGAGAGAGAGAGAAAAAATAACTGTATACCCCATGTAACTTTATTCAAATTTCTTGACGAGTACTGTATGTACCAATATCACAGTTATATTAAAATTAATTTTGTTTGTACACAATGGATAGCGGAAAAAATTCATTAATTACATTTCGTTGAATCCCATGATGTTTGCCTTTTGGTTTATTTGTCATTGTCATATATTCGACTGATGCGAGTCGGTTAGGATATTTTGCCTGTAACATTCTCATCAAGTAAAGGTGTTATCCGGTTCATGTTGGAACGCATTTGAAACGAATACCAGTGCTCACAGTCAAACCATAAAAGTAATGAACCCAACATCTGATTAAACAAATTAAGGATCTGTATTACATAATTTTCATGGGTTATATTAACTATTATCGACTCATTTCATAAACTGTCATTCCAATCAAACTAGCTGTTTTTTTGGTAAGCAATCCACACTTGTACTTACATCTTCTTTGAGTATATACATAGATTTCTTCCTCTTGGTTATACTTTGCATTTCCACGATTCTTATCATGTCTAGTAGTAGTAGTGTTAATTTAAAACTGAGATTCGTCAATGTATTCTCTCTTAATGTTTCATTATTCACTCCCAAAGATCTTCAATTATAGTTTGTCAGATTAGAGAATTACTTCGTTAAAAACAATATCGTGTCGGGGTATACAACATGCTTCCTCTACCTCCGACACCAGAATATAACAACCGGCTGTTGATGCGTCTTTATCGAGCCAGTAGGTAGGTACGTTGTTGCGGTGGTGGGGGAGGGGATGTAGAACAATGTGAGCTTGATGGTGGCCACACGAATCTGGAAAGGAGGAAGAGAGATAGAAAAGGGTGAGCCGACGACTCAGCAAGTACACAGGATGTGCTTACAGTGAATAATAAAGATAACTGACAAACGGTAGAGCTTGATAACGAAGAGGTGAGGCATTCTAGAAATCGAAACTAGAAGGTGAATGAATAAGATTTCGAATGGATTACAATGGTAGTTGTCGTGTCTTCTTTTGGGCAACGGATCCTTTAGTTTGCATAATATGTTGCGTAGTAATTTCGTTGGTTTATAGGCTACTTCTATTCCAAACGTAAGAAGCAATCGGTTAAGATATCTTTGATATACGGATTAGCCAGTGACCGATGAAATCTCTGCACGGATATGAAAGGCAGGTTTGACCGTCGTCAACTTGCATTACCGTGGTATCCAAATACCTACTAGGGAGGAGTGTACTGCACTACAGTCTGCTCTGTTTTATCATATGACCTTGAAGCATGGTTATTTAACACGAATAACATGATTGGGTCTCAGTAGTTCGATTGCATTTGCCTTGTGGAACCATCAGACGTAAAGTTTTAGTTAGAAGTGGAAGGTCATTTGATTTGTAAGCCTACATCGACTCACATAGCTGAACTATATATTACGCATACCACTTGGTCACCAACTGGCTCGTGACAAGATGTTACCTGAAATGATTTCAGGCTAAAGTAGAGGTTAAAGGTGGCCAGGCTAAATTTGATTATCATTATTTATTTGTCCCTTTGGTTCCTAGTGGAACATACGACTTCAGTAGCATGTCTCTATCTCACTCTCTTCTCTGCAGTCTTTTAAACCTGCCGTCACGACTGCCTACAGCAATTCATTTCTTCCTCACATGATCTCCTCCATGTCACTCTCAGCTGGGACGCCCAACTCGTCACTTCCCATCTGGATTCCACTCGATGTGAACTGGCCTGACCTGGCGCGTAATGTCCCCAATCGGTCTTGTCAGTGTATGTCCAACCCATCTCCAGGACAGGCTAAAGCATGACATCAATTCATAAAGTCTGCAACTGTTGTTCTGAGTCGTGTAGGGAAATATTGACTTTCAAGTTAACAACGGAAATCGATGGTAGAAGAGTCGATTTGAATTGGCTTGGAATTGATCTGATTAGCGCAGATTCATCCACACATTTTATTTCTTGTCATAATGAGATACATTATTGTTCTGTTTACACGACCTTTTTACCATTTTGTAGCTTTCACCTTTGTGACTGGTAAGTTGATATGGTAATTTTCTATGTGATAACTTGAAGCATTGAATAGTATCACCGCATCGCATTTTGATGCTTGTTGACTGAAAAGCAAATTAAAGGAAAATATTTTTATCCCAGGATGAGAAAAACAAGTTTTAATTACCCTTATAGACTTTCAAAACGTCGAACAATCTATCACTTAGTGAAAATTTCAATTATTGATTAACAATATTAAGCCACTTTCACTCATTATTAAGGGTATCGTTCCGCTGATGAATCTTTATCAATCTAGACATTATCATCAATATATTTTAGATGCAATATTACTCATGGCTTAGGCAACTCACTAACTATCGTTTAACTAATTTACTTTATATTTCTATCCACCTGTTCTCAATCGACGACGACGACGACGCTGCCATCATCACCTTTACACAGAATTCAATTATCAATACTAAGGAACACAAACTTAGAGATATTCAGTCAGCGTCAATTCAAAAAAAATTGAGTGATAGACATGGTGAGTGAATGATTCTCGTTTGATTCAATAATGTATATTTTGAAAAAAAAACTGATTGAGCAAGCGAAAAAATGTATATTCCATTTCAATTCGATCTTCATATTGGACTCTACACTAATATACGTAGGTTTACCATTGAATGAAATTACCAATCACATGGTGATAATTTAGAAATAATGATGTAAATAATCAATGAAGTTACTAAAATTTGGAATATGAAGCAGGTTAGTTATTCTTAGGTAAATGGAATGACATTTATAAGAACGCTGTTCTCAATGCGTTCAATAGTGTTCAGCCGGTGGTCAACTTCACAATGGAAGAGGAGAAGAATGACAGTATCCCATTACTTGGTGTTCTTTTGATGGGAAGGTTAGATGGAACTCTGAAACAAAGTGTATATAGAAAACCAACATCAGTAGGTCAATACACGCACTTCTTTTGTGCCGTACTCTTCCAATACAAAAGGGACCTGGTGAAATGCCTAGCATACTGCGGCATACCTATCTCTTCAGATGATGCTATAAAAGAAGAGTGCACTACCATCTGTGATCTACTTAGTAGGAATGACTACTCAGACAACTTTGTAACTAAGCATATGAATATTACGCAGGTTAAAACAACAATGTCAACAGTTCCTAAGAAGCAAATCTTCTTGAGGCTGAAATTCAAGAATGACACTGCCTGTGAGATTATCACACAGCGCATAAAAAGAGTCTTGCATAAAGCCTTCTCAGTCACTAAATTATGTCCTATCATCTACAATCGCGCGATTCTAGGTGTATGTGCACTTCCATGTGCATTGACAGAATTAAGTCGGAATCAAAGTAAAGTGATCAAAACGATAACTTCAAAGCACCTTAACTCGATATAAGTTTGTGTATCCAGGCTACAGGCTATTCGGTCGACAATGACTAAAATACACAACCCTCAAATTGGACTCATGATCTTGAAAGTTGGATACTGATGTCACATCTCTACTATTCACTATACAGAGATTAATGAAAGAATTTCTATTTAATACATTGAATATCCCCATTTAGACATTTAGAAAAAGACTCATTGAGCGAGCGAAGGAATGCATATTCCTTTTCAATTCGATCTTCACATTGGACTCTACACAAATATACGTAGGTTTACCATTGAGTGAAATTACCAATCACACGGTGATAATTTAGAAATAATGATGTAAATAATCCAAAGAGTTATTAAGACTGGAAACATGGAGCAGGTTAGTTATTCTTAGGTAAATAGAGTGGGTTTTGATGAGTGTTCAGTCATTCACAATAAGCCATTACGTAGTAATGATAAGGTGAATGAAAATTGATAGAAACAAGGGGAAGGGGAAGAAGTGTACAAAGTACTACCAGAAGTTATATCATGTTCATGGCCTGGTATGCAGATGCCTCTATATTGCCTGAATGTTAGCTATAGTAATTTTGCTTGGTTGTGGCTAGCAGAAGAATCTAGGATGCGTATTTCATCCTATTTAGGACTTGTCAGCTGGATGTACTTCCACCTCAATGGATAGTGATGTTGTTACTATTGAGACTAGAACCTCGTTACACACCTCTTCAAACGCTCCTTCTGTTAGCTGCAACCAACCAAATTATTATAATTAACATTCAGGCAATATTGAGGCATCCACATAGGAGCCCATATACCAATAGAGGTCGATCCAACACAATAAAACAACTACATATTGTACAAGAAGTGGCTATCGTTCCTCCATGGCATAGTGGATAACGCCTTTACGTTCAAGTCTCAGTGGGAATAATATCACTCCTCACTGAAGTGTAGGCGCATCCAACTGACGAGTCCTAGATGGGACAAGATGCGCATCCTGAATTCTTCTGCTAGGCATAACCAAGTAAACTGCCATATATCATTATATCTTTCTTTTTCTTTTTTTTTTTCAAAAAAAAATAAATTTTACAGTTACCTTAAAATTAGATCCGAAATATGAAACTTGGACACCGGGATCAACGAATCTTCTCAATCCACTTTTGCTTAATTTAACTTTACTCTATAAACCTACAATCGTATGGTATCCTTTTATCTTTGGAGTTGGATATACTGATACAGTATACAGTATATAGCTGCTGTTGAATGAGGTTGATAAAGGTTTGTGTTGAAGCAGTCGCCTGCCAAACTACTTCTCGATAGATGCTGTCGAAGACCTTTTCAAAGTCGATAAAGTTGAGGTAAAGAGTTGACGCCTATTCTATGCTCTGTTTTATGATGATGCATAACGTTTCAATTTGATCCACTCATGATCTATTTTTCCTGAAGCCAGTCAGCCGGTTCAGGTCGTCATTTTGAATCAAGAGCATTTTTTAGTCTGTCTTGGATGATACGGGCCAGATATTGTGCTTCAAGTGAACAGGAGCATAATTCCATGCCAGTTCTTGAAAAGACTTAGGTCGCTCACCGTTCTTTTGAAGTTCCACAAGATAACCCATGATAATAATAATAATGACAAAATTATAATCAAACAAATATTAAACTTTAACACTTACTGACTACTATCCGTATGTGAATGTGTATCATCAGTTCGTGCATCACTTGATAGACTATGATGTTCTGAATCACGCGCTGAAACTGGTGCATAGGATATATGATATGGATTAGGAGGTTGACTAGGTAAATTACCTAAACGTGGATCCATAGACGGTGGACTGATACAACAGCAAATAAACAACAACAACAACAAAACACAGTGATTAGATTCAATTTTGAATGATAAAATGATGACATCATCATTTGATTTCATGAATACTCTTCAGCTGTTACAGACAATCTAAACGTGTATTGGTTATCAATTGTACAACAAAGTCATTGATAATTTATATAATATGCAAGAAAGAAGAAATAATAAACAAATAAACAAGGAGTAAGGCTATGAAAATGAAAATAGAACAGGATCGAATTATATAGGCCGTATTCCGTGGTGTCACCATGTGAGTAATGCAGAAGTCAAGTGTAGAGTTTTAGGGAGAAGAGGTAAGTCAGTTGACGAGGTTATGAACCTTCATCGACTGAGATGGTTGGCTCTGACACGTACTACGTATGTCCAGTCACCGATTGCCTCGTCATACCATGTTGGCTGAAGTAGGTGCAGGCTAGAAAAAGGCTCGAGGTGGCCAGACTAAAACATGGCACCAATGTATGAAGTCTCTGACTGTTGGTTTAAGCCATGTAGGGTGATGCAGACTAGGTGGTTGGGGTCTGTTCGCGGGACAAGAGGAACCAGTGAGTAGTTGGAGACTCTACCTGATCACATGGCTGAGAACCGATATTAGGGGCGCAGATGTATCGCCACACACATTATCCTCATCTTAACGACGCTACACCGAATCTCATCACTTTCTCATTCCTCCTTTCTTTCTTCTCGTACTTTATATTTCTTTTGACTGCATTCTCTTATCTTCCTTCATCTTGCACCTCACTACCTTTCTACTTGATGTAGTGATTTGAGGTGTGGCGGGAAGTTGGACCATTACGCAGTTATATCTGGTCCTATGTTGATATTGATTGATATTCACCATGGGAGTAAGAGATGTACCTCACTCTCCTTCTTCTGTATTGAGAGGTCAGATTGAAGGTGTTTCATTGCAATCGCTTCTAAGAAGTGTAATAATTTCAACGTTTTTTGTACTCTGATTATTTTTTAAAGGAATTTAAGGTGAGCTAATCAAAACACTTAACAACAAAGCTATGAAATTATGTTCTGTATACAAACAAGTTAGAGGGAAAGTTGGACTTTATTGACAAGTGTCTTCAATAGAATGAATATCTTAAAAGAAGACATCAAGAGAAATAAACACTAAACACCTTACATTCAACGAAGATTCAGTATTCAAATGAATAGATGCAAGAATCAGTGGAAGAGCACTGAGAAGGAGGTTTCCTGAAGGTAAACTTTGATCAGTATACGGTACTATATACTTGCTAAACCAGTCCAAATTGGATAATTACCCAGTTCATATCACCTCCAACTGTATTTATGAATTCACATATACTTGAGGTAGTAAGTGTGTATTGAAAGAACTGAGAGAAGAGAATCCATTTGGTTCACTGAGTATATACACAGAATTTGTGATTGAAAGGATATAGAATTCTGATCAGTACAGTTGTCAGACATCTCATACACACAGGACATAAGGTTGGAACTTTGAATGCTTTTAAAATAATTAATATGCAGAAAACTTAGGAATTGCTACTCTTTGTGGAAGCGATTGCAATGGAACACCTTCAATCGGAGTTCTCTATACAGAAGGAGGAGAGTGAGGTTAGTCTCTCACTCGCATGGTGAATACGATTCGATCGCGTTCCATTTTCATAGCTTTACTCCTTAGTTATTTGTTTATTATTTCTTCTTCCTTGCATATTATATAAATCACCAATGAATTTGTTGTGCAATTGATAACCAATGCACATTTAAACTGTCTGCAACAGCTGAAGAGTATTCGTGAGATCGAATAATGATGTCATCATTCTATTATCCTACAGATTTCGTCCTCGTTGCTTTATCTAAATTTATTTTGGGGATCTAAATGGATCAAATTCTTCGGTATATCTTCTATGGAAGTCTCGAAGTCTTTATCACTCGTTCTACATATACATACTGTAAACTAACAGTTCAAAGCTCATCTGCATACTCAATATGATTTCCTTGAAACATTTGAGCAAATCAAGAATTAAAAGATTTACAGAATGAAATGATATCAGGTTTGATAAGCGTGTTGATTAATGAAATATTCGTGACTAGTTTGTAAACACAAAATGACAATTTTCAGACCACACTACTTAATAGTAGTTTACAAGTAGTTTGGCTGACCCTAAACAACTGTACTTTTAAAAGTTGGTACTGTCAGTCAATCATTTGTGACCTTGAAATTCAGTTCATTTCACACTACAAGTTAAAAAGGCAGCACAAATAACAGTAAATGATACTAAGGTATTATTTCTTAATGATAATGTATAACTGTTTGGTGGGTTACAGTTGACGAAACATTCTCGATTATTATTATTAGTTAGTATTTGTCTTTTGAGTCCCTAATGGAACATAGAGCTTCAGTAGCACCCCGCCATTTGACTCTCTTCTTTGCAGTCTTTTCAACCTGGCTCCATCACTGCCCACAACCTTCCATTTCTCCCTCATATGATCTCCTCCATGTCACCCTACCACGCACAACTCGTCTTTTCCCACGTGGGTTCCACTCGACAGCCTGGCCTAGTCTGGTGCGTGATGTCCTCAAGTCATCTTCTCAGTGTATGCCCAATCCAATTCATTTCCATTTTCTTCTCCTGCATACTTGTTGGGTGATGGGTTCTTGGTTGGTTGGTTCGTTGCCAGCCAGCCAGCGAGAGTTCCTTGTTACTTAATCTTATTATTCTGGCGATCTGATCTTCAGTATCGAGCGTAGGCAGCTGTTGACAGTGTGTGTCTGCAGTTTGTTGGGAGTGCTTTTCGTGATGCGCCAAGTCTCTCAACCATATAATATAAAAGCACTAACTTGACTGAATTAGTGTTGGAAATTCGGATGTCTTTCACGCTTGGTGCTGAGTGGAGTAAAGTGGAGTCTAGTAGATCTCCACGCTGATTATTTCAAATCAATGAAGGCCTTTCTTGCTATTTTTCCGATCCTTTGCCGCCACCGCCTGTAGTTGAAACGATGCTGCCTAGGTAGGCGAAATAGACTACTTCCTTCACATTTCTCCCGTTGATGGTGATTGGTTCTTGTTGTTGTTGGTTGAGTATCTTCATCACTTCTGTTTTCTCTACGTCCACCTGAAGGAAGCCCCGTTATCGCTGCCTCGTCTCTTATGCCAACTTGTTAGTTTTCGCCTGTAGATCTTCGAGTTGGTGAGACAAGACATTAGACATAAATCATCATCGGAGGCGAAATCCAAATCTTCTGGAAAATTTCCATCAGTCCAGCCAGCGTATGCCCATCTTCTTGCTCCTCAAAGTTGTCTGTTGCATGATCCAGTCGAGTCGAATGGACCACAATGAGGAAGATGATCGCTGACAGACAGTAGGCAGCTTTGTCTTACTCCTGTCTTCACTTGAAAGGCATCACTGAGCTTCTCATTGTGAATCACTCAGCATATCGCATCATTATATAGCATATAGCTGCTGTTGAATGAGGTTGATAAAGATTAGTGGCACTAAAACCGCAGTGCTGAAGCAGTTGCCAAATTGCATTTCGGATATAAACACGAAAATTTTCAGTCTTACCATCAGGCTATTTTCATTAAAATTTTCAATAAAGCCGAGTCAATTATGCTCAATGATATTCGATTTTTGGCAGTTTAAACAAAGCGGCTAAAATGAAATTGTTGTGAACGTTGTTTTAAATAATATCCTTTGCGATTTGACCTTCAAACACTTGAGGCGTGATTTTTAAATGCTAATGAAAATGTTTTCAAACTTCTAAAATTAGCAAAACTATTTCTACCAAACATTAGATAATCAATTAACACGTATCTTTTCAAATAGATTTCACGTTTACTTTCTTATTACAATGTATTAGATTCCTTAACACATGCTACTACTTTCTATTCAATATGCGCGCGCATGATTTAAACAAATTTTACAAGGTCACATCCAAGTCTCTATCATATGTTATGGTGGGGATGGATACAATATTTTCCGATCTTGTTATTTAGTCTGTTTGTTGGCGATAGAATAAAAGCCTTTGTATATGGACACCAGTTAATCAATGTTTCATTATGAAATATGATCCGATTCTTTTAAAACAATAGCATTGTACCATTGAATATTGAATACAAATTTAAACAAAGACAGTGTCGATTAGGATATAAATTCCCCAGTTTATCGCTTGTAATGAAAGTTTGATAGACAAATAAATATTTTTAGTTTCATGTATATATTTCTTTTTTATAAAGTTTGATTGAGACGGAATTTCTTCTTCTTCTGTTTCTCATCAGCTGCTAGCAACCTGAAACATTTAAATATCATATAACAGGTGGATTCGAACTGATACCTTTTAATTGAGTGAAGTTAGCCAGCAGTAATCAATGAAGTATGGGTAAAAATATGAAAATCTGAGGACAAAGGATTACTTAAGAAGACTGGGACATAAGTTGGTTAGTGATAAGTCACAAATAAATTATATGATAGCATCATGAGTTGAGCTTAGTTGGTAGAAATGATTGTAACAGTCGTGTACAGACAGAATTGAAGGCCGTGAATTCGATCCTTGACTGGGTCATGAATGTGTATTGCTGATAACTGGTACACTAAGATGAATTAACTGTCTATGGCTTCCAGTTTTTCAATGGTTCTCCAACTGTTTTCAGTTTATGATGGTTATCACCTTGAAATATATAGAGTCTGGGAAAAAAACCTCTTAGGGTGAAAAATTTGATTACCCGGGGCGAACAAAGTCTAATCACTGCTTCTATACCAACGTGTAGTTTCAGTTTAATCCGTTTCATTAAAATGGTCATAGGGAACTTCAGAAGATTCAAATTGGTTTATTTGTTGATTATCTTGATGGATTTCAAGGTATCTACTTCAATGATCGGTCCACTGAACTACGGGATAATACAAGCGATAACAGTGAAAGTATACCCATCGCACAAGAAGTGACTATCGTGACTTAGTGTATAACACTCTGGGGTTTGAAGGGATAAGTCCAAGGTTCGAGTCCTGGTGGGAACAACATCGATCACTAGGAGGTAGATGCATCCAGATACAAGGGAACGCGTATCTTGGATTCCACTACTAGCCACTATCTATCGTTAATATCTAATTTGTCTCTTGTATCTATTAGATGTCATATAACTGCATCACTGCAAGTAATTGTTCCTTTGAAACGTCAGGTATTGGGCATATTTTCAAAAAATTTAAGGTACAATCCTTTCTCTAATCTCGTAATGTTATTGATACCACCGATTTATATAAACTTGTGCAAATACTTAAAAGTGACAGGGAATTGAAATATGCCAACTTTTGATGACACGAAGAAGGTAGAGAGAAGGATCAATTTGACTACAGCATATGCTCTGTTCATTGTAGGTTTCAGTCTTCTGTTAATTATCTATATGGCATTATCACCTTTGAAGTTGTGTTCAGTAGCCGTTGGTTTCTTTTCCTATTCACAAGGTTTTACGTTGATATTGTCTATCTATTTTTGATGAGATACTGGATAACTGAAGTACCACTCAAATTGTCACTAAATATGTTTCACCCATTCTCCACTTCTATACTATCCATCATTGGTCTAATGGATTATTTTAGTAGTTGTTAAGATGGCCTTTAAAGTTGCTTCTTCAAGTATCAGTAAGTTCAGTTAGATAAGAAGGGAACCATTAAGCCATCATACTTGTCAAAATGTATAACATAACTTACCACCAACATTATTGAGCATAAATTCCAACGGTGAAAACAACAAACAGTTGCAGTAGTATAATATCTCGAACAAAGGTGTATTGTTAGCTCGCCAGATACAACATATCTGTCATCAGTCAACAATAATAACATTTATTTTCGGTTTTATTGCTTTTCCCTTGTGTTCCTAGTGGAACATAGGGGTTCAGTAGCACGTCTCCATTCTACTCTGTTCTCTGCAGTCTTCTCAACCTAGCTCCACCACTGCTCACAAGCTTTCATTTTCCCCTTACACAATCTCCTCCATGTCACCCTCGGAAACCTTACTCGTCGTTTCTTATTTGGCTTCCACTCGAGGGCCTGGTCTGACGCGTGGTGACCGCGAATGGTCTCCTCAGTGCATGCCAAATCCATCTCCACTTCCTTCTGCATATTTTTTTGGATAATAAATTGTTGGTTGGTTGGTTCGTTCCCTGAGTTCCTCGTTGTTTATTCTTATTATTCTGGCCATCTCATTTCGGTCTTCAGTATCGAGTGAGCGAAAGTGGCAGCTGGTGATGATGTATGTCCATAGTTTTTTGGAAATGCTTTTTGTAAAGCACCAAGTCTCTGAACCATACCATAGAAGTACTGACTTGACGTTGGTGTTGAAAATCCAGATGTTGTTCATGCTTTATGCTGAATGCAGTAGATCTCCACACTGATTATTTCAGGTTAATGAAGGTCTGTCTCGCTGTCTCTCTGATCCTGGTTTTGACATCCTCGTCCGTGCTGCCGGCATCTGTATTTGAGACGATGGTGCCTATGTAGGTGAAAGAGACAACTGCGTTTAGATTTCTCTTGCTGATGGTGATTAGTGCTTGTTGTTGTTATTGTTGATGATGATGACTATTGAATATCTCCATCACCTCTGTCTTCTCTACGTTCACTTGAAGTCCCGTCACCTAGCTTATTCTGCAAACTTGTTAGTTTTCTCCTGTAGATCCTCGAGTTCGTGCGACACTAGACATAAATCACCGGTGAAATCCAAATCTTCTTCTGGGGTCTTCTCATCGGTTCAGCCAACATATGTCCATCTTCTCGCTCCTCACAGTTTGTTGCATTATCCAGTCTAGTCGACCATAATCAGGAAGATCATGGGTGATAGTGATAGTAGGCGGCAAACTTGTATTACTCCTGTCCCCTGTCTTCACTTTAAAGGCATCAATGAGCTTTCCATTATGAATCACTTGGCATGTAACATCCTTATACAGCATATAGCTGCTGTTGAATGAGGTTGATAAAGGTTTGTGCTGAAGCAGTTGCCTGCCAAACTACTTCTCGATAGATGCTGTCGAAGACCTTTTCAAAGTAGATAAAGTTGAGGTAAAGAGTTGACGCCTATTCTATGCTCTGTTCTATGATGATGCATAGCGTAGTGTTGCAATTTGATCTGCACATGAAGTTGTGTTCAGTAGCCGTTGGTTTCTCGCTTATTGTAATTACCTGTTATCCACTTTTTTAAGATCTTCCAAACAGAATGATAAATTTCTGTGCATAACTAGTGCCATGCAAGATCTTTTCACTACAAAACAACTCTACTTCCAACTTACTGCGTGGAAATATCCTCTTAATTCTTTAAAATAGTATTTTGACTATTTCTTATTCATAAGTGATTGGATGAAGGCTTATAGAGTTGTAGGTTGTGGATTCAAACACCGCTCCAACTATAAAGGTTTCAGCAGTCAGATAGTATCATTAAGCCTCACAACATAATAACTTTTGGTCACTACCTACTGTACGAAAGTGTACAAGGTTCTAGAATGAATCTTGATTCGATTTTACAATGAGGATGTTCCGTTCTATGCACTTTCTAAACAAGTGAACTTTTCAAGTGTACCATTCTTTCTACATTCCAATGGAATATCTAAAACGTTGGACAAATCATTGTATTTATATTCCATAGTAGACTTACTGCTTGTATGCGAATTATTGAATAGTTGTAGTAAGAGTGAAGGATGCGTAACGTCGATCATTAACGTCATGATAGTTTGATAGACGAATAATTATCTAATATGGAGAGATGAATAAATTTGAAATGAAGATTCAGGCTGTGACAAGATTCCGGTTATGAGCCAATAGATTACCTGCCCGGTGCTTTACCAGCTCAGCTTTGAGAAACTACTACTGACCAGATAATTACAGTGAAGGTCAACTTTAGTTAATGCGTGAGTCTTGTAGTTCAGCAGTTCATTAATCTGGAAACCAGCGGTTAGAATCCTGCTGTAATCCGGCTTTTCATTTCACCTATCACTACGTATCAATAATAATATTCTGTCAAAAAGGCAGTTTTTTCATATAGACCCAATGAAAATGAAAATTTCTGGGTTTCTATAGATTATTTGTCCTGGACAGTGTTTCTATAAGGTTAAACGTTCGGGGGATAATTTTATTACATTACAAATAGCAAGAATTCAATGTATACTATTTTAGGCATCTTGACTACTAACCATGAAACCAATGAAATGCTTATCAAGTTAAGGGGAAGTTATATTATAATCTGACCTAGAACCTAAGTTATGAAATGACGTAATTATTATTATTATTATTTGTCCCTTGGGTTCCTAGTGTAACACAGGGATTCAGCAGTACTTCTCCACTCCACTCTTTTCCCTGCAATCGTTTGAACCTGGCTCCACCACAGCCCAGAAGCTCTCATTTCTTCCTCACATGATCTCCTCCATGTCACCCTCATCTCGAATGCCTAACTCGTCGTTTCCCATCTGGGTTCCACTCGAGCGACTGTCCTGGTGCGTGATGTCCCCGAATAGTCTTCTCAGTGTTTGCCACTAGTTAAAGCTTGCACTACCCCTTCTGAAACCATGCTCTGCGTCGAACTTAAAACATCCTTCACTTTCCGTCGTTGACGAAAAAGTGTACTTCGGTGAGGGAGACACTTTCTTCTATTTACTAGTACACTTGTATAAGAATTAAAACAGTATATAAAAGACCTTTGCACTGGAATCCATTGAAAATCCTACTGAATTCATGAAGTTGCGCTGTCCACGTCAATGGAACGAAGAGAGTTGTTTGAAAGTAATTACGCGCCAGTGGCTGCCATTTAGAAAAACAAAAATGGATGTCTGTAGGTTCATTGTCTAACAAACTACGTAGCTGTGATAGTCACCTACATTTGAAAGTCAATCTGGATTAAGTATATTATGGAATACAATACTGTTAAACAGATCACAAAAGAAGAGCTTCTATAAGTCGGCTTAAAAAATGATGTCATCTGTAGCTGCAAAGAATTCCTAACTTGTATACAGAAAATTACTCACCCAAATTTAGACTATTGATAAACAGTAAGTAGTGTACCTTAGAAGACGAAATATTACATCGCCCAGAGTTTTTAATCCCGCATTTAAGCAAGAGACTTCAGGTTCTTCAGTCGTAGAGTTGAACATGATGACGTAGGCAGGCATTATTGTAATATTGCGAAAAAACAAACATGCAAATGGGTAGGCATGTCTAGATGAATAAAACAGGAAGTCAAT